ACACCACCGTCCCAAACGGCGTAGACGGCCAGCCCCGGGAAAATAGTCAGCCAACCACGATTGAACTGTGTCAGCCCAAGCAGCTTGCCAAATAAGGGGCAGCAGATCCAGAGCGTGCATTTGCATCGCGAGGGGATCACCTTGTGTAGGGCCCTCCTACGACAGAATACACTCCCCATCGATGGCCGGTTCACGGTAGGTATTGATCAGGACTGTGGCCAAGGTGGGTACAACGGGGAACATTGAGCAAGCAAACTTGACGATTCAATCTGTGTAAAGCATTTGATGTATCGGCCATCAAAATGCCCTCCGTATCAGGGCGGGAAAATATTGTCTGCATCTCGTGCACGCCCGGCTCCAACCGACGATCTAGACCGGCTCATAGCTGGGCACAAACCACTGGGTTCGCGAACCTCAGGACCAGCAACCTGGAGAATTGCTTTGGCTATTATTCTGAGAGCGCGTATACCATTACAGAGTTGTCCAGCACGGGCAGAGTTGTTGATATTCGACTTTCCTCGCCTGGTGCAGCTCCCATGCATCATGCATTGGGCCCAAAGTGGCTAGTAAGCAGCGCGCGCATTTGGCAGCTGGCTACGGCATCAAGTGACGTGAGACGGTAAACTTCAATGCTCTTGTGCCATCATCGCTAATTCGCAATAATTATACTAACCAGTCCTAGGTTGAGGAATTGGCAAAAGGAAACCTTCTGAAGAGAACATCGACTGTCAACAATACTCAAACGTATTATATTCATAATGCTTAACTTTCTGTGCTGTTTCTTGACGTTTGGCCACTTCTTGTCCCCCCCCCCCCTCTTACTCCCTTGCATACGTTCTTGTCCTCATGAAGCATTTGGAAATCCCTCAAGGCTTCGGTCTACCCCCCCCCCCCCCCATCCCACCAGTGGAGCTCCTGGACGTAGAAGAAAATACTTTCTATACTAACCAGCTAATTGCGATCCTTCACCGCCACCACTGCCTGCATATGGAGGCAAGAAAGTCGTAATCGACTTCACTAATTCTGACGCAAACCATGACAATTATTTCTTTTTTTCCTTTTTATCAACATGCAATGCACTGTATGTCAAATTAGGAGTAACCTGCTTTCCACATCTAGAAGCTAGGTATGGCCTTGAGCAGTTGGCGCAGATTCGCGATGCCGGTCCATAAAATATTTCTTGGCGACCTACCAGATTGCTGTTTTGGTGTCATCTTACTTCCGGACAAACCATTTGATTTTGTCAGTGTTCGAAAATCGTGGACACAGTTCAGTGTCATCCACCCTCTTGACACTTTCATCTGGAATGGGATGCAGCACTGGTGTGCCCATTGGACGTCGCATGCATTGCTCACAATGTCGTAGCAATTGTTTAACGATTGTTCTGCTGGGTACATATACAGCCAATCCAGACACGTGTTCCGGCGACTCCGTGTCCACGAAAAATCAGATTTAATGTTGAAACAACTTCACCGTGGTCCGTCCATTCAATGTACACTGTGACAGGTTGTAATTTAAATATATTGTCGACCATACACCACACAACGTGATCTAAATCCGCTTCAAATGAATACTGCGCAGTGATCGGTGTTAATCCTCGGCCAAATTATCACCAACCGTTTCAGTGGAATGGAACTGTACTGGGTCGAAACATAGAGGCTAAGCCAAATCAAGTTTAAAATATCATACTAAAAGAATTTTGAAGAGGGGCTGATGCTTCCTGCAGCTTCATCTGTGAAAATAATTCGGGTGGACACACCCATTCCCATAGCTCTGCACATCACATCCGAACCAGTTCCGTTATTTTTACAACGTTTTGGCACTTCTTCCACGGTATTCATTGTTATGACGTGACGATGGCCATGTGCCGAAACGTCGGAACTGGTTCGGATGAGATGTGCAGGGCTATGTTAATGGGTGTGTCCACCCGAATTCTTTTCACATACTAAAAGAAGTCTCTTTTTTTTCAAATATATCCTCCTGCCTGTCTGCACCATTTCTCTTTCTTTCTATCTCTCTCTTTTTCTTCTCCCTTCTTTCTCTCTCTTTCTCTCCGCTATGACTCTCTCTCTCTCACACTCTCCAAACTTTACCTACCTGCAGTGGATAGTGATATTGCAAGGAGCGCATTTAGGAGAGTCAGGAGGGCGTGTAACATGGCTGCCATCCCTGGCGTTGAGCTCCTGCCTTCCCTGTCCCGAACTACGATGATCTGTAGTTCCTGGCTTCCCGTACGACTTCAAGAATATATGCCAATTCTCTGGCAACTAATGAACCAGGAAATGAGGAGAGATTGTTCGCTGGAGCAGCCTTATACTGAGACAGGCTATTGACTTATCGTTGTTAGCCTGCACAATAACACGGCATTGCCTGGTTCTGGGAAAAGCCAACGCTAGCTCAGCTTTGCCTTCTGTTGATATCTTAGTCTAGGAAGCCACATACTGGCCAATTAGGCCAAGCGATATTTCGGCAACCAAAGAGTCCACTATACTGATGTCAGTTTCGTAAATATGTGATCTTCGCAATTCCGTCTGAGGCGGGACGCTTGGGTCCAATGCTGACGTGGCGTCTGCTTCGCAAGCCAATATTAGGGAAAGGCAATTTCGCCAAGCCTGGAATTTTGAAAATGGCAAGCACCCTACTGCTTTGGACAAGACCGCTTGTCGCCAGTTTTGCTTCTCTCCAAAGTAAATGTATCCAGGACGTGTCCGAGGACATCTAATAACTTAATCAGGATGACCCAAAGGCAAATCGCCTATCGAGGGGTTCACCGCATTGAATGGTTGTTATTATTCTAACAATGAATGGCTGCTCAGGCTCTCTGAAACACCCTATGTTCCATTTCTTCTCGTAATGCTTGTCTACCTCTATCAGTCTGTCTCTATTCCGCTGATACTCAGACTCGTACATTTGCATTCACTGTGTCAGATCGGGAGTGTCGGTGTCTCAGACGCTACTCCTGAACTACATGCTTCTCGTAAAGTATCAACATCGCTCTTCAAGTACCGTCATGCTGATTCCGTGCAGTACATTTTGGAACTCTAGTCGGAACGGGAGCCCGTCGTCAACGATTCCAGCATTGTTCTGTGCCAAGGAACTCCTATACAGGAAACCATCCCTTATATTTGTTTGCCGCAATGTCCAAGACGACGTCACCTATTCCACACTTAGGTGATCATTCCGCTGATGGAGTAAGAGATCCCTAATTATTCCATGGCTACGCTCAATGCCAGAGGGACAAGATCGCTAAGAGTTCAGTCAAACAGGCAAATGAACGACGATTTTAGTTAACACGCTTTGTTCTCAGAACTAACAGTACTATCACTTGACCTACCGGCAGCCAGCCTCCTTTGTGCAGCGGCTAATGAGAGGGTCCTAACAAATAATTTGGGAGAACTATGCAAGTACTGAATACTCAATAAAATTAATGTCGTTTTTTATATAATCCACGACCTCTAATGACGTTTTTTTAATCCACGACCACTGATGCAACCGAATAACAAACTCAACATCATGCGTACCTACCTTTTAAAGTACTTCGAAGTACGTGTGTTATGTTGTGAGAAAATGTCAAGAAAGGGATAAGAATATCATGTCAACGAGTCAAAATGTCTAAGCTGAGGTTCTGAGATTTTTAAACCGTCTTACGCATGGCAAGCACCGAGGTGACACCCAGCAGGAACCATGTGTTTCTGCTGCAAAGAATGTACATGTTGCATGATGCCCCTGTCCCTGAACAGACACTCATTGCCTGACACCAGTAGCGCGCTAACTAGCAGAATAGCAGTAGTACCCTAGACGAAAACATGGTATTCATGCGAGCAGTGGTCCTAACAGGCGAGTCAGACTACGGCCAACTGTGGCCACTTATCTACGACGCAGATCGACGTGTTTGATCCGCGATTCTGCATAAATACTTGAAACACAACTGCAACACCATGGAAATTCAAGTTCAGACGTGATGGTGGCAGCAGGAACCATGTGTTTCTGCTGCAAAGAATGTAGTATGATGACCCTGAACAGACACTCATTGCCTGACACCAGTAGCGCGCTAACTAGCAGAATAGCAGTAGTACCCTAGACGAAAACATGGTCTTCATGCGAGCAGTTGTCCTAATAGGCGAGTCAGACTACGGCCAACAGTGGCCACGTTTCAACGACGCAGATCGACGTGTTTGACCAGCGATTCTGCATACATATTTGAAACACGACTGCATCACTATGGAAGTTCAAGTTCAGACGTGATTTTGGCGGTAGTCTGAATTGCGTATAAACTAGCCAACACCCAGGCACGCATGTAAGCACCCGACTAGTACAGTGTAGCTCCGCAACTAACGAACTTCATAGGCTGGTTATATTTCCTACAGGCTCGACATTCTCACTTTTAACAAACTGTCTTGCTGTGAAGTTTCACGAGTGAGTGAGCTCCAGGTATAGCCTGCACTAACGCCTGTACTGTTGTAGAGAATGGCATGGTATTGTTCGTTATTTTCAAAAGCGGATCGCTTCCATCTAACAACACCATTCCTATGGAAAGATGCCCAAAGTGGTCAAATTCTTAACCGGACGTTGTAGTCAGCCACTCAGTTCAACGGTGCTCATGTGCAGCCAGAACTAATTTCCTGGTCTCCTTTAGTCCACTTAGCGTTGGCATTGCCAACCAAAGTACCTATCCACTGTACATGCATGCTCGCGTGTTTTGTGCAGTGAAATTCAGAAGTTCGTTACGAACGTGTACTGTCCCCCAGGCGATTACTGGACCAGTGATGAAAACACTCTAATCCGGAAGGTGAACTACAGTTGCGCCCAATGAAATCCGACCAAACGTGCAATCCTGGCGCCCTCAACTTTTACGGCCCTGGACGCCCTGGAAGTTGAACGAATGCGGCTGGGCCTACACATGTACACATACAATGATGTAATCGGAACTGGTGTAGGACGCCAGCTTTGCACTTCTGCTCGGATTTCAGTGAGCGCAACTGTACTACACTCATGTCCAATGTCAAGAAGAGGTTGGTGCGACTGCATCGATACAACACACAATTCCCCAATCAGGTATAATGAATGAAGAATGGGTGTAGGCAAGAAAGATGTTAAATGAATTAGAAATGTGCTTCGAATGCACTGGCTGGTAGCATGCATGACTGTAAAAACTAAATAAAATTTAATTCCTGTTGGGGTCAGGTGCTATAAAAAATATGGCATCAAAGAAGCAAACACTAGAATATATAGATTGATAAAAAATGAAAACACAGCGACACACAATCATACAGGTCTGAAGCTGGCAAAGGTACTCAGAGGCACTGATTCTATGGTCATGGAAGACCACAAGGGTGGTATTTTGAACAGTTCTGCAGCTGTATGGTCTACTCCATCACATAATATGGAACAGGAGTTCACGGGCTGCAGCGTTGCTTCTCATAATGTGGAAGTCATCGCCGCTACCCCAATGCAAAACGTGTTCACATATCATAATAATGAAATTGGTGTAGCAATATATGACCTGAATCAAGCAAAGGCATGAAATTAATAACCCAACTGATATTGGGAATCACGTGACTCATAACAATGTGCCTTAAGTCGGCCATTCGACTACAATTAAATCAGGGGAGACGCAAAAAACAATGCAGCATTATCATTCCAGGATCACAACTCTGTACCCAGGACGAAGATTCACTCCTCCGCTAGTTTGGTCTTTTCATCATCAACCTCATCCTTTTTCTGATTTCCGGTAAATGAGAAAGATGTGGTGGCTAAGTCCTCAGTCTGTGGTACAGGATTCGACTCCAAGGGTGTGCAGACAGCCGCAGGTGTGTCATCGGCCATAAACGACATGGAGTGGTCCAGAAGTGGATTCGGAATGACAGCGCTGGTGTCTGCTGAGCTTTCCTGCATGGTGCACGACTCTAGTGTGGAGCCTTTGAACGACGTAGTGCCTAGCGTCGGTGCTCCACTCCCGTACTGGGATTCCTGCCTGCCAAAACCGGAGCGGTATCCGCTGCGAACCTTGCCAAGGGTGCTGTCTCCGAAATCTGCAATGCGCTGCAGTGTGCCTTGGAATCTGAACGAGCCGGAGAACATCGTGCTGCCGTCGCGTCCCGACTTTCTCGACACGCTCTCGCTCCATTCCTTTTGCACATCTTTGGAGCGAACTGTGTGCACAAAGATAAACAAACCCTGCAGTGTGTTCAGGATGGCGAAGATATACTGCACAGAGATATGATCAACGACCACAGTCAGCACTCCAACCACCCAAGTAAGACCTAGCATCAAGGATAGAGACACGGTGATGCGAAGCAGGTAGAGCTTTCCGGATGTCTCCTGCTTTCGGCGAGCTGTCTTCACGTTTTGCGAGCGTTTCTTCAGCGATCTGATTACTGCGAAGAGAATGACACCATTGTAGGCGAGTGTTAGTGCCATCGGAGCTATGAAAGCACCGTAGAATGCTGCGTCATTCGATATCCAGCAGCTGTACAGGACGAAGAGAGCAAGATGGCAACAGCACATGCAACTTGCTGCTTAAACAGTGGGTTATATAATCTGTCTTTCACCAGCACAGTAATGCCACAATAGCAAATATTTGTAGAGTTCGGTGACCACACTCCTAAGCTATATAGTACAAAAGGATGAGCACACTTCTATACCGGAGCCAGATACTGCCTTTTAAGAATCAATGGCTGTAACCACCTAATATCACTGGATATGGCAAAATTTCGGATTTTTTTCAAAGTTGACTCCTTTTATCCTAGGGTGGGCCATGTTCGCCCACAATGATGGTTTAGGCTGTGTTTACATTAGAAATTTCAACCCGGCTCGAGTTCAGCTCGGGTTGAAAGTCTGTACGATAGACGAAATAGGTGAGCGTTAACATGAAGACAGTTGACCCGGGTCAAATACTGATATGCCACCAAAAGTCCACTTCTAGAGTCCTGTATGGTCACGTGAATCTGTTCGCGTGCGATTTGCATGTGCAGTGCTGTTCAAACCTGGCGCGAGATACGCACAGACGTACGTTTGTACGATTTTCTTGACAGGGTTGATTTCAACCCTCCTCCCCCCCCCCCCCCGATGGCGAAATTTCAACCCGGGTCAAGCGCAATGCGTCATATAAACGCGCCATTCATTTTGTGTGCATGGCGGGTTGTAATCTGAGCCGGGTCGAGCTCAACCCGGGTTGAAACGCCTCATGTAAACACAGCCTTAGTCCAGAGACGAGTTTCACATGCGTGTGCCACCCTCCCATCAAAAAAATCAAAATTTCACTCAGGTTGCTGTGAGCCCACCTACTTTCGATTCATGTGTGGTGACATAGTGCATTTTTTAGGTACCGGGGGGGGGGGGGGGGGGCACGGCTGTGCCCCAAAGAGAGCCTCCTTTTTAGATTCTTCATTTTCCAGCTGGAATGCAAACCTGAAATCCTCGAGTACAAAACTGCCATGTCGTAATTTTCTACTTGTACGACAAGACATGGACGCACATGTGAAACTCACGTGCACTAGCTGCCCAGTACTCCAGAACCATCTAATAGTAATATAATTATCTTTATTTCAGGATTACCCAAAGGCTGACGCCTATGGGGGGTGGGGGGATCTCCTAATTGTGTATATACAATGAACATTGGAGTTGGGAAAAAGAGAAAATGTGCAAAATGAGTCAGGGCCATCTTGCGCTACTGTTGCAGTCCTTGCTGATGTTGCTCGAGAGCGATAACTTGCCGATTTTCGTTTGTTTTTTAGCCATATCTAAGGAACGCAGCGTTTCTGGACAAAAACTTTCACAGTGGGTGAATGAGGTCCACCTAGGGACAAATGGAGGGAAACTGGAAAGTTGGCCATGTCCAGTGATATTTGGTCATTATTGATATTGACTCATAAAAACCGATTGAGTGTGTAATTACTGAAAGGAACTAGGTAAGCCAGTTGAATGAAAGGGAACAAGGGCAATGCATTTTTAAGCAGATGTTTTTAGCTGTTGCACAATTTTTTTGAAGTGAAAGGGGGGCGGGGGTGATATTTGGAAGGAGATACAGGCAGGAAAAGAAGAATTCAATTTGGGAATAATCGATTTTGCAGAAGACCTTCTTTCCCTTCTTGGGTACTATTGACTTGGTCTCATGCAGAAGTCTGTGACATCATCCAGCATGCACATATCCAGAAAACAGGACACAAGAACAGTCATATTTCTACAAATCAAAACTCACAAGTTTTCGTTACCATACGCCGTCATGTGTGTAGATGCAGCTGTCACCAGCACCACTAACACCGGTACAGCTACACATAGGGAAACAAGTGGAAAATCTGTGCTAAGTTGGCAGCTTCATATCAACTTCAATGGATGCACATTTTCAACGACGTATAATACGTAGAAGACGAACCATTAAAAATTTCCGCTTATCCCCCCCCCCTCTCTCTATAATAGCCTTAGATAATGGTATCAGCCATCCATGCCCAAACAAACCAGATTCCTCTGTGGCATTGACAAGACTCACTTCAGATCCAGTCTATTCATCGACACAACCTCTCCTTTATGCACCCCTTGGCCAAGCACCCCTGGCCAATTCCGGTTGTAAAATGATAAAAGTTGTCAGCCGTAAAACAAATCACATGAAAGCATCGAGTTCATAGAGATCTGCGATACTCATGTTAACCTGTCTACTTCTGCAATGGCATGCCATACGCACAGCGTGCCAGACAGTTCTTGACCTTACAGAAAATCAGAATCAATAGGTTGCGGAGCAGAGTTGCAGCTTGTCCGCCGAAGACAATCACCAGCTGGGTGTAAATTAGAGTTGCATCTGCTGACATCCACATGAACGCCATCAGCAGGAGTGCATGGAGAACCAAAGCCACAGCCTGACACAAGCCCTTGCTCCACGCGGCCGGTGCTACTGCCGACACAAACAGCAACAGTGCGAGGAAGAGAGTGATGCAGAGTCCAAACATCAGCTTTTGGTGGCTGCGGGAGCGAAGTTTCCTGCGTTGGATGAAAGAACACAAGAACACAACATGAACCACAAGAGAAAAGAAAACATAATCCAGGTTTCAGCTTCATAACCCTGATTGTGTAGATTGCAAAGATTGTTTTAAAGGTATGATGGCTTCACTCTAGCGAATTCATCCTGCTAACAATACAAGCACGCCACAAATATTCCAAAAGTGAAACAAGTATATTCCGCACAGATTATGTTACAATAGACCAATCCCGAAAAGATTGTCTGGGTTCGAAAGGGGGCATGTCAACTGATAGTACACTGTACAACACATACATGGCACTACCTGATCAGCATGCGGCACAGGACGTGTTTGATAGTTCACGTGTGACTGCGAGGGTAAGTACACGGTTTTCTCGTTAGTTGCATGCAAGAGAGACGATGCGACAGAAAGCAAAGCTCTTTGTAGTTTTCTCTCTCACACTGGTAATGGTCTGCTGTTGGAGTGGAAATGCTAAGACATAATCCTTGTTTCGCTCTTCTGTGTAGTGTGAAGAGATCAACGAACATGTAGAGCTCACTTTGATGAAGTAGGCAAGGCTGTGAGCGCTGTGGCTCAAAGCGATAGGCCCTAAATCTTACGAGATATTTCAAGTGCTATTGTTTGTTGCGAGCGCTTCGTTTTCGATGAATCTTGCCTCTTTCCTGGCAGCTGCCCTCCTAAAGAATCAACCATGAAGTGACTGTACTCATCTGCAGCCGATCAATGTTATATTGCACAAGAAGATATCGTTTTCGCCAAGCCAGTGCCCCGCCAAAGACCATCGCCGTGTTACACCGTCGGAACGAGTTCATGATGAGAAACATCATTCGCGCGAGCGTGATGAAGAACTATTTCGAAAGACAACATAGTCTTTACCCCCGGGGCGACAACTATGTGCACATCCTGCAAGGGGAGAACGTCACCAGCGACATCAACGAAGACGACGGCAGTATTTCGGAAACCTGGAGTCAGCAGAGGTCGTCAAGCTCCTCCGCGACCCGGTACATGTACAGTATAGGTGACATGTCAACACGATCGAGCGTGTGGAAACACAGCATACACTGTAGTAATGTTGCGAGAGTTTGCGGAAGGAGTCCAAGTCGGGAAATCCATCAGCTCCAAAAGCTACCTGTAGGTGGGCGATGAGACTCCAGCTTCAGACTACAACAGTCAGGACTTGTAAATAGTTGAACTTTGTGAAGCAGCAGATCGAGAAGTAAGCTGAAATCGTAGCTGTTGCAGTATGTCGGCGCTATGTAGCTTGCATTTTTTACGGAGAGTCGATCGCCAAGCGAATGTTTCTCTCCTCACCGAGATCTATCTAGCCTCCAAACTCCGTCAGGGTCTGCCTAAGGTACCGAAGGTCCTTTGACTAGCTGCTGGCAGGACTCCATCAAATCCTCTAGCTTCAGCTCGGCGATCAAAAGTCTCTCTCTCCTCCGCCATGAGCTGACACACACAAACTGAATACAAAACGATGCACTTCACACTTGCTGGCTTGCACGCGTGCCCCCTTTCACGAACCCGGACAATCTTTTCGGGATTGGTCTATTGAAAAACAAGAGGCTGACTATAAAGGGTGCACAATGATCATGAATGTTACGAGGAGATTCGTAAAACTCCAATTGGAGTTCGTTGAGGCTCCTCCTCCTTCACTCCTCTCCACATTCCTGATCACTGTGCACCCTCCACACCCTCCCAGGCGGGCAGGCCAATTTGTGTGTCTCTTTTACCTTTGAAAGACTGAGGAATTGTAGTGAATCGACAAATTTTAGCCGGTTAGAAACTTTGGCCGATCTCGAAACTAAAAATGTTGGCTGTCATTAAACGTTGGCCTATTGGGGTTTTCAAAAAAGAAGTTGATCCGTATTTGTTGGTCTCACATGCAGCCGTGGCTGAATTTTAAAAGCATTATTTGCCTCTGGGACAAAATTTGGCCTGCAATTTACTTTGGCGGGTTGACACAAAGCGGTGGAATCGGTGAAATTAAATCACCAGCGAAAATTAGTTGATATAGAGCACATGATTGTGTGAATGGCCCAGGGCTGCCATTTGCTCCGATTTTTCGGAAATCGTCCGATTTTGGATCGGCTGTTGGACAAACCGACCGATTTTGTTCCCAAAGAGAGACCACCGATTATTTTATTTTGAGCGCTTTTTAGTCCAGTTGGCCATTCGGCGCTTCCAAGTTGCGTTTGGCCAGTCACTGTACATGTACAATGCTGCCTATTCTCGTAGCATTGAAAATTATAGCCAATTTCCAGACCCCCTTTCTTCTGTGCCGATCGTTGGAGGTACTCATCTTGGAACTTCGGTTGTTACTTGATGTAGGAAGCTTGCTACACCAGGTACTATGTGCAGTGTTGCAGTGGAACAATAACTGTCATAAACATGTCGCATTTTTTCATCAATATACTACATTCGGAGCAGTGCTAGAGGGATCAGTGCAAGACTTACTTGAGTCGTAAGATTACGACTACGGTCCCAAGCAGACCTATCATGGACAATCCACAGCCAATGTACGATATGATGCTGAGGCTTCGCTCAGCTGCGCTGCTGGGTGGCAGAGGGGAATGCAGTGCCTGTCGAGACTGCACCGTGATCAGACAACATCACATGACCCAAAGAGCAGTAATACCATCAATATTCGTTTCAGGAATTGAGAAGGGGAAAAGTGTGACTATAATTTACTTTCCAATACAAGGTTAGCAGGACTCAAAAGCGACCTTCGAGATATTGGAAACCCAGAAACCTGTCTTCTTGTGATCATGAAACGTTCGTGATTTTCGCGATGGGTGTGAAATAGGGTAAAATAGGCGGGCGCGAAAATCGACACTGTTGGCTTGAGTCAATCATCAAATAGACTCCAATCGCAAACGTTTGCAGGTGCAAACGGTCTGCCATCGTAATTCACGAACGAAAACGGATGCAAACGATTCTGACTTTACAGTAGCTCAGTGCGCTCTGCCTACATCGTCACTATATTTCTGTCAGTCTAGTAGTTTTAAACGAAGGGATGATTTACCAAGGGATTAGATGTCGACCACTTTGTGGTGGGTCTGATCTACTCTCCTCCCGACGTTTACTAGCTGCAGCTGCGCTTTGATCCTGAAGGCCGATGGCCTTCCTACGGATGCGGAACACTTGGCTTCCAGCCGAGTCTCGCTAGTACCATGGATTTTTTAGATGAAATTCACCCGCCACGATAAGAGATTGATAAATATGGTGGTAAAGACACACCTGGCAATATGGCGGTAAACACACGCCTGCCCACATACGCTCTCTAGGCTGCAAAGTTCTGGCACAGAGCTCTCCTTCTCACCACCACCACCATCAGTTCGCGCCTGGCGCCTGGTCGATGCATGGCTGGCGGTATCCGGCATAGCAGGCTGGTACATCAAGTAGCGCATGGCACATAGATGATGACACAGCAACGACATAGCTCGATTGCGACGTACGTTTCGTCCCTGCTGGACTCATCAGGCAATCTTCTTCTTGGATGTCTTCATACGGAGCTGGACTTGGGAGAATGGAGTTGAAGACATCACTGCAGCTGTACTTATGGTTGATAAATATGGTGGTAAAGACACACCTGGCAATATGGCGGTAAACACACGCCTGCCCACATACGCTCTCTAGGCTGCAAAGCTGCAGTGATGTCTTCAACTTCATTCTCCCAAGTCCAGCTCCGTATGAAGACATCCAAGAAGAAGATTGCCTGATGAGTCCAGCGGGGACGAAACGTACGTCGCAATCGAGCTATGTCGTTGCTGTGTCATCATCTATGTGCCATGCGCTACTTGATGTACCAGCCTTCTATGCCGGATACCGCCAGCCATGCATCGACCAGGCGCCAGGCGCGAACTAATGGTGGTGGTGGTGAGAAGGAGAGCTCTGTGCCAGAACTTTGCAGCCTAGAGAGCGTATGTGGGCAGGCGTGTGTTTACCGCCATATTGCCAGGTGTGTCTTTACCACCATATTTATCAACCATAAGTACAGCTGCAGTGATGTCTTCAACTTCATTCTACGATAAGAGATAATGGTTTTAAAACTCTTTACACGCGACCCCGCGCATGACCCTTAGCACGACCTCTAGCACATCCCCTAGTTCCACGAGGCGCTACCAGGGCACCCACTGGCACACGCAACCATCCCTGTTTGTGATTCTAATGGCCTGTTGGGGACTTGGAAATCACTAGGCAGAGAGTCTGAAGTTATAAAATTTAAAATGACATTGTTATTAGCCCCTCAAAATGACGAGATCGGTATCAATGTCTCTTTGTAACTAGCGGAAAGGTTTCATTAGATCCATTTTCCCCATTGTCTGCTAGTTGGTCCTAGTTACATACATGCAGCTCTCCATACGAGACACATAGTAACACGCTTCTGGTTTGTTGTAACTTATAGTTTCATGTCAGATGGCAATCTTCATACTACTGATACACACAGCTCTTGTTGCACCTCTGCATACACTCCCCGACACTGCCTGCAATACCACTCACATGCCATGTTGGTGTCCTCCATAAGGCACGTAATGCAGGAATCACTCGGACACTCCACAAATGGGTGTCGTCGTACCTGTCATCACGTTCATTACGATGCTTGGTGGGTGGCTATACGTCTACCCAGTACCCCATAACTGCGGGCGTTCCCCAAGGCAGCATACTCGGCCCGACACTGTTTTTACTGTACGTAAATGATGCACCCTCTGTTCTGGTGGATGATGCCCAGCTGGACGCATACGCAGACGACACCACACTTTACTCCATTGTGTCGAATGGCAGCGCGGCAGGTGCAGCGCACTCACTGCAACTGTCAATCGATCGGCTGCATAACTGGGGCCAGAAATGGAAGATTGCCTTTAAGCCCATCAAGTCCCACGCAATGACTGCAACGCTCCGAAGAGCTGACTTACACCTCCCACCAATCATGTTTGGCGGAATACAAGTCTCCGAGGCAAACTTGATCACCCTCCTAGGCGTCCTCTTTGACCAGAAGCTGTCTTTTGGGGAGCACCTCCGGTCTGTTGCAACACGGGCAAGGCAGCGGCTTGGTCTTTTGCGCCGGTCTACTCATCTTCTCCCTCCGGCTGGGCGCCTAACCGTGTACAAGGCATTCGTTCGTCCACTGCTGATTTTCTGAGGCGTGAAGTAGGCGCGGATGAAGAGACCATTGGTCGGCGGAGCCTACAGCACCCCATCACCACCGTTGCGTTGCATTTGCAGCCCCATTCAGTCAATGTCTTGTTAGTCTGTTCCTTTGTCATTTCCTGCTTCTTTCTTGTTTTACGAATTGGGTGCGTGGTTTCAAGTATAAGAACAAAATAAAAAATGCGCCTATTAACAAAATCCTTATGACAGTGCTATCCTTACCACCAAAACAGCAAAGCTTGTCAGGTGATTGCACTGGCAGAAGGCATGGTCTCCGGACGTATTGAGCAGATCACATCCCTCGCCACTCCAGCCACCTTCACCGTATGCTAAGAGTAATACAGGCAAGAGGGAAGTGGTTGAATTAATAAATTGAAATAGATAACACATCCGTGAAACTCTGCGCTTTCATGTAGATCTACTCTTTCTTTACCCTAATCTTTACCCCAAACTTTATCCCAATCTTTACCCCAAACTTTATCCCACCCAACTGCCAAGCCAAGTCAGCAGGAAAGGTGCAAGCGCTCACATAGGAAGCAAAACATAATTCCGATGGTTTTCGTTGAATGTGCAAGAACATTTTTTTCAGAACATCTCTGTCCGCAGATATGGATTTGATTTCACCGGTCAAATGGATTGGTTGTGAATTTAGGGGCTACATCCAGGGGGAAATGGTCTCAGGAGAAGGATGCATTAAATGTTAGTTTTCAAATTCTGGTAATACCTGTATAAGAAATGAAAACATGCAGTACTGTAAAAACACAATAATAGCAAAACGTGATCCGACATAAACATGAATCATTCGCAATAAACATTCTGCCACATCCCGCACTCGTCGCTTTCCCTGCTGCACTTACCCAAACTGAAGTCCCAGAATGCACAGGTCAAATTGTATGCATATTCACCACCGGTCGTTGCCATGGACACGTTGAACGACATGAGAACAGGCTGACTGAGGTTCTCTAGCGGAGAGTCACCCGCCTGAGCGGAAATGATCAGTGATCCGATGGATGTGTTGTCGCCTATACTGCTGTCTTGGAAGAGGCTGGAAGTCTGATAGAGAATGAACTGGGATTGGGTCAGAGAGCAGGCTGTCGTGTCATTTCCCACACCGTCCTTGCCTTCATTGGCTAACTGCAATGCCTGAGAGGGAATGTCGATCGCGACGTCCAAGTTATTTTCTAAAGAAAGGCAGTCGCGAAGCACAAAACGTGATCTAGCCATTTCGCAATAACTGTGGACAGCAGGACCTATTTAGAAACTGCAGTACCACTAAGGTCTTTTAAAAGAATGATCTCTAGGTTGCCCGAAAATGTCAATGAAGACTTGCATATTCCAGGACTGTTCGACGATGATGGCCATTGCGTGCTCACAAACATCACAAAAAAGCTGGTGTGTCAGTCAGTGGGCCTTCTCAAACACAATGCCAGTCATTCATGACGTGACACCATTTTTCTAATAAATAAATAAATTTCACGGTTCGCGTGAGACTCGGCTGGAAGCCGGGTTTTCCGCATCCGTAGGAACGCCACCACCCTTCAAGGATCAAGGCGCAGATGCAGCTCCTAAAGCGGTGGGAGGTGAGTAGATCAGCTCACCAGCAAGTGGTCAAAGACCGAAAATCCCATTCACTGCATCCACGAGGAAAACATGGATGCATTTTTCTAATAGGTAGCATCAATTAACTTCGTATACGCTTCTATTCCCTGTCCAACTAACAGACTTTTGGCAGCAGAATTTGATTGACACGCATTGCCAATAGTTCGACTGCTGGGAATCATCAGGAAGCATCAATGCCGCATTAAAACGGGGCTCATCGGGTTTACCATGTCAGTTTTGGAAGTATCCTTATCTTTGATCAACAGGAAATAAACCCTCTTTTCCAGCCTCCGCCTACACATGCTAGGCTCAGTTTACAAAAGCCCCACAGCCCCACAGACACACGAACGCAAATGCATATAAATACTCCCTGGCAAAGTCCAACGCACATGCGCAAAGCACACAAAAACAAAATGGGGAAAGTATCAGCATGCATACACGAAACAAATCATGCATGCCTCCATATGTCCCTTTCCTGTTTTAACCACAAAATTTATTATTGGCTCAACAGCCGAGCGTTGCATGCTTCTCACATTATTATTCATGCCACATACCCAGAGCTGGCTTTGCTGGTGTCCCCACCAGGAAGGTGTCAGTCCCACTTTCTTCTGCAGTGCGAAATCCTTGTGTTGTCGGGTTTAGCGGACACGTAACTGCAAACCCCACATTGTCAGTGACCCGCTGTAAGGTGGTGCCATCCTCGACGTCCAAACTAGTCACCAACTTCTCCATTGAGTGTGCAATTCTGCCAAATACACAGGTGCAAAAGACAGTAAAATGGAATAAAACAAAGTAATAATGTTTTTTGAAAGAGGTTTGAGGCGGATACTACTTAAAAAACGAAGGTAAGTATTAGGTCGCAAGTATCCACGCAAACACACACATCCAGTAAGGTAATTGTCATAAAGTATCCGAACGTTTTCGGTCCCTTCTCATCAAGGATTGTCCAGGGAATGGCTCAAGTTGGAAAGACTAAAACTTATATTTATAGCGCAAAAAGATTATGAGGTACCAACACTCGTGACAAGGCGTTGCATTTGGCTGTGTTAGAAGCTTTGTACGTTACTGAACTTTGTGTACAGAAAGAAAATGTGTTGTCGCTACAATTGGTTGGTGTTACTCCTCGCCGAACGGTTAACAATGTGACTTAATTTGCTCACTATGTTGTTGTCTCTAGTAATGCTTTCCTTCGAGATTTGTGTCGTTCTGAACTTGATAATTTTCCACATTGTCACGAGCGTTGGTATCTCATTATCTTTACACAATATAAGTTTTAGTCTTTCCAACTCGAGCCAATCCCTTGTCTTGATAACAAAGGACCGAAAACGTTCGGATACTTTACGACAAGTGCATTATTTGACTGGATGTGTGTCTTTGCGTGGTTAGTTGCCACCTACTATGATCTTACTTTGATGCCGATACTGCTTCGATTTTCTCTGCAGGAACATTCAGTATATTGTCCACGGACTTCAGGACGGCATCAGCAACCTAAGTGTACACAACAGGCAATGAACAATTTACAGTTAAGTAGATTTCTTGTAGGTACAAAACATGGCTACTAATAACCAATGAGAAAACTCTTTTGCGGAATTGAACACACTTTACAATTTCAAAGCTGACCGCAGTCTTCCTTCAACCTGAGTTGGGAACAGTCTTCTTGCGAGTGAAAAAAAGTGTTCGCACCGCAAATGGCAACATGATGAAATACTGATTCTGTGCTTTGAAGGACATCTACTGAAAGAACGAGGCGATTCCCACTTCCGCTTTTAAAAGTCCCAGCCTCCAAATGAACCGGTTGTTGGCGAAAGTGGAGGTATTTGAGTACACTATGAAATCACTAAGTTTAGCACTGAACGTGTGACTGAGTATTTATACTGAGAAGCCGATTGATAATGTTAGCTCTGCGCAAGTGCAATGGTGGAGTAATAGAGTCCAGGCACATCAAATCTAACACAGATTTGCTGTCATGCTGTCTGTATGTGTAAAAGGTTATAATAATAATGACAGCACATTTCGCGTAGTAGAGCACTAAATAAAGAAATTCAGTGTTTTTTCCGCTTCTGTCTTGTGAGCATCATCAGCTAGGTGTAGTAGCTGCTGATAATGATTTCTCCTCGGATGTCGAGCTGCACAGTTTCTTCCAGTCTGTCTTGTCTGCTGCTTGTTGGCGGCGCCTGGAAAGGTTATACGATGATTATTAGTCTTCCTTGTACTTTTAGCTATATTGAAACTGCTGTCTCCAAAATGCTTGTTTTCACGGTGCTTGTTCAGGATTGTTTTGTAACGAGATTCTTTGCAAGCAAAAAGAAAATGTTGTAGCACTCACACATTTTAAATAATACGCACTCACCAGTTTTTGTCCACACGCACTCACAGCTGCCACATTCATCTACTGCTACCATTCTCAGATACACTGCAAAGGTTCACACTACACGCGTTATGCATTACCGCTAGCTGTGCTGCATTCTCACGCTTCTTTTCATGTTACTCTAGCTATATAACTGGTTGTTTTAGTGATTCTTACTATGTGACGATGTTCCACTGATGATGGTCACACGAAAACGTTCTGGAATTGTTTCATTTTAATTGTTTATACATGGTTATGAGTGCACATTTGATATTTTTCATTGCTATTTTACGACTGTTGTCTCCTCGTCGGTTATTTAAATACTTCATCCGTTTACAGTTTTATTTGTTGAAGTAAATAGTTGTTGCTTACAGGGGTATAAAAGTCACCATTACCTGTATTTCGACAGTTGCATTCAGTCTTTGATCTCCACTCGTTACTGTCACCAGGTTCAGGAGGGTAGTAGCAGCAAAGTCCACGTCATCTTCCGACAGGAATGTGCTACCCTGGGTCACGTTGACTATCAATCTCGTGCTGTCCACCAATTGTGCTGGGTCACTTGTGTTAAAATCAAGCTACAAACCCAAACCAGAGTAAGGTAAGAAAGACGTTCCAGTGATGTTATGCAATTTTCATAAGCTGGGGGAAAACTGAACCCTGAAAGCAACTTAACTTGTTGATGATAACAAGGCAATCCCACTGGCACAGCCATGTTGTGTGACGCCTACCATTAATTGTCATGCTCTGTTCTTCTTCGTTCTCCTTCGTATTTCATAGGTAGGGTTGTGTGACGTATAATCATGAAAGAGGCTGGAAAACAATTCATTTCTTTGAGGGAAAGTTGCAACCGGGAAAGGTCGGAAGAGAATATGACTGTCGCGACCAGGACTCGAACCACAGACTCTAGCTTATAGCCAGCCATGCTCTATAACCAATCTATGGTGTAGTCGTCATCCAAGCAGCGACCATCCAACATCCAGGTGTAGAAAGGGTGACATAGCCTCACAAGCAGTACAACTGAACCAGTAAGAGTCTGTGATAATCCAAGGATGCCTATTGGTGCTGTACCTTGGAGAGCTTCTGCAGTTCCTTGGTCAGAGGAGATGGGCATGTTGTGGTGTTGGGACTGCTCCATCTGGCAATGGTTCCTACTGCAGAGCCGGGACGGGGATATGCCACACAGTCGCGCGTCGCAAACTCCACCTTGCGATCGTCCAGAGCGACAGGGCAGTCGAGGAAAGCACTAGTGCCACCAAAAGTCTCCGGCCAGAGTAGAGTGCCCTGAAAACCTGTCATTGATTCCTCAGGGCAGGTATCTATGTAGAACACAGGGGAATAAGTACGGATACATATAAGCCTCAGTGTGAGCGTTGAATGTTTGGAGCGACACACCAAATAACCTAAAGTACCCAGACACTTTAGACGACCAGCGAGGGCACACTTTCTTTGAAGTTCATTCCCTAACGTTGGCTTTGGTCCAACATTGTCTGGAGCTGTTGAGTGTAATTCGTGCGTGGAGTGTTTTGGCATTGGACACACCCAAACGTTACAGATTCTAAAAGCTATTCCAATTTCGCAACAAGATGTCTAAGTTCGGAATTATTATCCAAAACTAAAATAATTATATATTGGGAATTGTGATGGAGAGTGAAGGCGTAATCGTAGAGTACGCCCATTATCATCGGCCCAACAGGGATTTGTGCATTTTCACTTGCATCCTATGTTCTGTCGTCGTAGATATCACTGACAAAGCAAGGGTTGAATGTTACAGTGCATGCGACGTTGTGTCATCCATTCGAGAAAATTAGCACCTCAAAACTTCTCATCTTGCACTCTGAGTCCATTTTCAGTCGAGGCCATAGAAATCCGAGCTCTGTGCCTAAAGCAGCCCCGAGACTCATGTGGCCTCTGGATGGATTTTTCGGACAGCACATCATGTAAAGGCAACGGAAACGGGCTACTGTCTTTGCCTCGTGGGTCGGATTTCATTGGCCATGACTTTGCAAGAGATTTCCAGAATGCGGACCTACCAAAGCTGACGACTTTCAGTGAAGCCGTTTGCATCGTCAATGGCTGGCTCTTGTTACTGTTCACATTTTCCAGTAGATGCAGGCGCAGGCCGTTCGTAAGTGACTGGTTGCCTTTGATCTCCTGGATGAGTGTCGAAGACAAGGTGATTTCTGCCTTGGCCTCGATCGCCGATACTGATGTTTGCCTTGGAATTGAAGAGAATATTTGTGCATAAAATAAAGAAGAAGCATACGTCCCAATTAACACAGTGCTTAAGGAGCATAGTAGAAAGGTGTGATATTTTGTAGAATACATGAACAAACAAGACACACGGATAGAGAGTCAATAACTAATTTATACTAAAAGAGAAAGGACCAAGGAACTACAAGTTACGCTATGCTGTCCACTAACCAGTTAGTTGTAGAACGTTAGTACCTTTGGTCAGTGTCGTGCAATGTTATCGCATGAGCTGATTGTTTGTTTCTTTGTTTGTTTCTTTTACTTGAATTCGTTTAGACAAGAGTACATGAAAACCAGAGTGTGCAGCTCGGATGGGTTGCTGTCACGGCGAAATTCCGTGATTACATCATTTTAGTGATGTAGTGCGTACAAGCAGGATTCAAGCAGGTCTCTTTCTGCACAACTGCAGCTCAGTTGTACGCACTACGCCATTTCCCGCCTCAGATCTGGGCCAAATATGATGTAATCACGGAATTTCGCCATGACAGACACCCATAGCAGAAAAGGCCCCAAGCTGCACACTCTGGTTTTCATGTACTCTTGGTTTAGAGCACAGGCAATTCTGCCTTCTCACCAGAGGAAAACCTCCAGTTCCTGCTAAGAACGAATATTATAATATAACTATGAGAGAAGGATTGTTTAGTAACTGGTGGTGTTAGTGGACAGTAAAGCGCAACTTGTAGTTCCTTGGTCCTTTCGCTTTTGTATAAACAAGAGAGAGTGCAGAATTTATAGGCCAGTGCTTGGTGCAAACCTGTACTGAAGCTCTCACACAGCACTGGTGGAATCTGCATACATTCCAGTGTTCAAAGTTGAGATGAGATTACAGGACTTACAGGATGGTGATATCACTAGACTCGACTTGGGATTTGTGCCTACTGCTTGACACCAGGGACCTCAGCTGTGAACAACATAATCGCACATGACGATCATACAGTCATAATGTTCACACAATAGGGGAATACCCAGATTGCTAGATTGTAAGTGTATGGTGAATTGCACAGACATTAGGGAGACAGTCATGCCATTCATATATGCCTGCCTTGTTGTTCAACATTGTCCATACCGTTTGTGCCACTAAGTCCTTTGCAGCAGACGTGCTGATCCCTGTAGCCAACTGAGATCCAACGAACTGTGCAGTCACTTCAAACTGACTTGCATCTGAGCATAAACAGCAACAAGATTGCAGGTGCGGGACAGATTGATAAACGTCATCCCTACCTCCCCCCCCCCCCCCTCCACCAAAGGGGTGTGACTAACTCCCGGGAGGGTATGATGGAATCACAGAAGGGGTATCACTGACCCACAGAAGGGGTACGTCGGCCTCATAGAAGGGGCATTACTGACCTACAGAATGGGTGTAACTGACCCACAGAAGGGGTATGACTGAACCACAGAAGGGGTATAACTAACCCACAAAAGGGGTATGACGGACCCACAGAATGGGTATAACTGACCCACAGAAGGGGTATAACTGACCAACAGAATGGGTATAACTGACCCACACAATGGATTTTAACTGACCCACAGAATGGGTAAAACTGACCCACAGCAGTTGCATGAGCGACCCACAGAAGGGGTCAGACTAATCCACAAGAAGAAGTTCTTCCGACCCATGAGAAAGGGGATCACTGACACATGGAAAAGGCGGCTACTAAACTGACTAAACTAAAGTAGGGAATATTACTGATTGAGAGGAGTGGACGCTGCAGAACCATAGGAAAAAGTGGGACTGACCCACCGGAGAGGGCATGGGAAACACACAGGAGAGGCATGGCTACGTAAGAGTGTATGGCCGACCAGCACGAGAGTGCAGGAGAAACACACAAGACGTGTGTGAATACATGATAGGGCATGACTGACACACAGGCCGGGTTTGTCTACATCAAAGTGTGCAACTGATCTGCAAAAGAGCTGTCGACAAAAAAAGAACACAACCTAGAGCTAACAAGCAAACAGAGAGCTCAATATTCACCTACCCAGCACTGTAAGCTTGATAGTAGATAGTGATACTGCCAGCCTGGAGTTGATATCGTTCTCGACAGAGCACTGGTATAAACCGGCATGGCACTGCTGTATGTCATTGATCACCATGACTAGGTTTGTGCTGTCCGCTGATAGCACAGAGCTCAACGAAGGGCAAGTATCTCCCTGTGGCGGTTTGGACTGGCATGTGCCATCAGTCCCCAACTGGCACCAGATGGCCCTAGGCTGGGGTACACCAGCGAAGAAGCACGATATTGATAGTGTTGAACTAACAAAGGCACTCGTGACCGCAGCCAGCCCAGGATCAATCGTGGCTGGAACTGGAAGGAAGAACAGAAATATCACATTTCCAAACTCTTGGCGGAAAATCATCATAAACCATTGTCAAACACCATAGAACTCCCCATTTGTCTCTGGAAATCACACCCGCAGCAAAAAATTGTCTCAATGTACTGTATTGTAATTTTGTTCGACCTTTCCAGAGCATAGATCAACTGTGTATCTTTACTTGTATCTCTACAGTTAGTGCACAGTATAATGCTATCTACAAAAGGATCAGCTCTCGCTATAATGTTGCTCTTTGGCTAACATGTGAAATGTTGCAGTGACGATTCCTCTTTTTGTCACCAACCGAAATGAGGTACGGAAAAAGCAAAAAGTCTTGATACAAAATTGACTTTTGGACTGGGCCGCTCGAAGGACCTTCACTCTCGGGCCATGGATTGTTTCCTCTTAACATTATGGTGTGATGTTAATACGACATGAGGAGGAGTTTTGTAGCACAGTCTGTACGCACCTTTCACATCCAAAAACGTCGATGCCTTGCTGGTTCGGAGCGTGGTATTGCTTATCTCCTTGTTCAAAGCCGTGCACGAGATGCTGCCGTGATCTTTGCCATATTTCACCGACATAATAGTGAGTGTGTTCTGAATACCTGTGCAAATGAAGCAAACAAAGACTGAATGAGTTGTATCCATTCGATCATGAAGAAGTGGAAAGTGTTAGGGAGATTGCTCATTTCATCATGGAGCAACACAAACATGTGGCAGTGGGATTTCTCATTTCAATATGGGGCGATGATCTGATTCATTTGAGCAAATTGATAGATAACTCCCCGTGGGTGCAAGTACAAATGAATTTCTGTCAGGACTCAGGTTTTAGGGTTCCCTTGATGTAATGCATCCGACTGTACACAACTCCATTGCGCGATGCCAGTCCTTCATCTTGAAAGTACTTCGCTGAACTCACCGGGGAAATGGAGTAATAATGCATTATAATTGTCAGAGTTATCCATCAGAAGTGGCAAACTCTGCCGCATTATGCACACTTGTTGAGCCGTAACAAAATTCAACTTTTTCGCCTAAAAGATCTTACCGTCAATTCTGTAGTTTCGACTGTGAATGATGATGTCATCGTTTTTGTCATGCCAGCTGACAGCCACGGGCACATCTCCAGATACCAAACAAGGCATTCTCACCCTGCTACCCTCGATAACAGTGAACTGAGCTTGCATAGTCGCACTGGGTGGTTCTGTGGATTACACCAAATACAAGAAGTACTCTAAGCATTAAAGATTATTAAGATCGAGGTAATCATGTTTTAGTTTTGTTTCTGAAAGCGGAACCTCTTTGGACTTACACAGCCAAACACAAACGTGCTGTCCATTAGCTTTCCGCGGACGCTGGCCCACTTCGCACAATTGCATGGAGACCTTCCTACATATAGACAAGGCAGTACCAGGGTCAGTTACAAACCTTCTCCGAGTGCAATGCTTATGTAAACAACCTTTCTTCAAGGTATAATAGTGACAGGCGATGCCTGAGAGAGTGAGTGTGTGTGAGAGAGAGAGAGAGAGAGAGAGAGAGAGAGAGAGAGAGAAAGAGAGAGAGGAAGAGAGAGAGAAAGCGACAGAGAGAGACAGAAACAGAAAGAGACAGAGAGAGAGACAGAGAGACAAAGAGACAGAGAGACAGAGAGGGAAAGAGATTGACGTAGAGAGAGAGATAAAGATAGAGAGAGAGAAAGAGAGAGAGAAAGAAGGATAAAGAGAGAGAGACAGGGAGAGAGAGAGAGAGAGACAGGGAGAGAGAGAGAGAGAGAGAGAGAGAGAGAGAGAGAGAGAGAGAGAGAGAGAGAGACAGGGCGAGAGAGAGAGAAAGAAAGGGACACAGAGAGAGACACAGAGAGAGACAGAGACAGAGACAGAGACAGAGCCAGATACAGAGACACAGAGACAGAGAAACAGAGAGAGACACACAGATAGAGAGACAGAGAGAGACAGAGAGAGAGACAGAGAGAGGGAGAGATAGATAGATAGATAGATAGAGAGAGAGAGAGAGAGAGAGAGAGAGAGAAAGAGTGAGAGAGAGGGAGAAGCTCAATAAAATCACCCACAGTTGTCCAAGGGGTTACTTGAACACTTTCCGGAAAAAGCTTTTGACGTAGGACTCCCTTCCATCGCAGCCCTTTATCACGCACCAAAGCAGAATTGCTTTTGAAACCACTTGTCTCTCTGGATACCTCTTTACAAGATGTTCTTCTCAACTGGCAGCAGGTCTTTGCAAGACTAGAAAGCTAACCACGTGGGCAGACAATAAATCACTCACTTCTACACTTTCCAAGTGAAGCTGAGTAGGCACTGTTGGCTCCACACACTGTTTTTGCATTTCCAGCAATAGCATATCCGGGGTCGCATACTAAGGTTACAGTTTCGGCTTCGGTCACCGTATCACCAGGTTGAAGTTTGCCATTGCCAATTGGCCTGACCCTAGGGCAACTTCCCTCTGTAGAATCAATATGAAACAATATGGGAGAAGTTGTAGACAAAAACAAGCATCGAATAGCAGATACGTCAGGGAGAAAGATAGGGAGACGATAAACAGCAATACAGACACTAGCATGCAGGTGATAAAACGGCTGTAGCACAAACAGCCAGACACATGGAGGGAGAGGTGGAGGATGGATGAATTGCAAACACCAGATAGGCCTCTGTCCCATGCAAAATATCATACTAGAACTATATCGGTAGAGTATAGAGTACATCTTACTGGTCTATTTTAGAGACCCCTTCAAGTTCATGTTTATGAATTTCTCTTCTTCATGTTATTCAGTAAAACTAACAGAGCGTGTCCATGGTTGTACTATTCATTTACTTAGGCTGTCATCACACCACGGAACAAAGCGCTGCGTCTACGTCCACGTAAGGAGTTTTTGTTCGGTTGTCACGATGATCCTTATACAGGGTGAAAACAGGAGTAGAGGAAACGGCAACCGTAGACGTGGTAGGGAGGAGGGGGTGAGGGGTATATGACTTTTTGAATGAACGTGCGTATGTCCCCAGCCTTTTTCCGAGCGACCCTGCATTTCTATGTACGTGCGTTCAAATTTCACCAAAACCTTGACTGCGTGTACTCGTCAAAAACTGTGCCTGTCTGATGACACGGCCACCCGTTTTGGTTTTTTCACCATAGACATACAGTCCATTCATCGCAAACAGTCCCGCTGGCTTTTGAGAGTCCGATTTCGGCCGAATTGAGGATCAACAACCCACTTTAAATTTCAAAAATCTGGGTTATGGATCTGCTTCTCCAAACATTTTGCCGTGGCATAACTGTCCTAAATTTGTAAAACCTGGCTGGATTTCTATTTCCCTGTTCTTGGACTTTTCTGGCCTCAAATGTGGCAAGGAGTAATTGCACGAGTCACACACTGCAGGATGTACTGTTGTTTTCACGATATCTACAACTATTTGTGGGAGACACCAAAGAGTTAGGGTGCCTGTTTCGAATGAATGGACTGTAGACGTAAGCGGGAGTCGGAGAACGTAGTGTGATGATGGCCTTACAAGGGTCTTGCCCGGAATAAATACAACTACAAATTCACAGACAGAACGACAGGCATACACAATGATTGACTGCGACACATCAAAGCAGGAAGGTTGCCTCACTGCATTGCTGACCAGTTTCGCATTTGCAAGCAAAATACACACATCCTTTTGCAAACGCCTTACCTTTTCGAAATTGAAGGGAGATATTCTGTTTGGTTTCAGCGTTGTGCCAAGCAACTGCTTTGAGCAGAAGGTTAGAATTCTCTTTACCAATAGCGTTGTCACTGACACAAATGGTTAAAGTCATTGTGAGCTCCATCTCTATTTTGGCAGACAGAGCTGCCAAATCTGCAGTCAGGATTAGTGATAGATCACTGCCATTCCCATACTTTTCCAAATTGAAATTTGTTATCAGGCTGGGGTTTGATGCATAGCAGATGTTGAAGTATGAAAGATCAGTTGCTGGCGGTGAGACTGACACTGTAAAATTTTCCAAATCAATCATATCGAAGGGAGCACTGGACAGAACAATTTCTGCACTTATGTTCAAAACCGGTGTTACCTTTGGAGCAGTACGAAAGAATACACGAGCATGTTTCATGCATGTTCCCCACTTTGTTGATCCTTGAAGGATTGTCAGTGGGAAATATGACCCCCACCACAGAGGAAGTTGTAGTCCCGTATGCTCACTCCGTGTGATGATTGACAGATTTCCAGTACCATTGCCAAGAACAGTCAGATATGCATCCAAGTCAGCAGCTCCAAAGTAACGATAAATGTGAAGGAAATTTGTGAAATTCGGTGCCGAGTATGTGATAAGAAGTGTTCCAGGTGGTGAGTTCTCTGACCAATACATATTTAGACACCTGGAATTGCAAAAATCTGCAGGATAAATGGACACAAAGATATGTTGTTTATAATTTTCTGGCCTTTTCACCTGGTTTAGACTTTGTCCAGGAAGCCAGCAGCGATTTTCATCAAAACTCACGATACATCTTTGCCTTTTTGGCCTTGTGGTTACGAATGCTGTTTGCTGACCATGAAATTGTGGGTTCAAATGCCAACCTATCTTCAACTCTATCATTTGTTCGTTATTTTGGTGAGTCATGTCAAAGAAGGTGGCTTCCCCAAATGACTTGAATGTTGCTGTTAGAGTTCACGCTTCATGCCCACCGACTGACACTTGCCTGGCTCACGTCATATGAACATACGCACAACACTGATATGGTGTGAATGAGTAGAAATCATTGCGCTGTGGCAACGTGTTGAATATACAGGCTCCTTGATTGATTGACTTCTTCACAAATATTTTAGTATTTCACGATCGTCAATTTATTTGAATTTAGAAGCCGGCGACGTCTTCTATCACACGGCTGTTTCATGCATGCGCTCTGCGGCCAAAAAATATGGCATCACAAAATTTGAATTTTAGAATTTTTTGCACCGTGATCGCGTGACCGGGCCAGATATTTAGACAATTAATTCAATTTTTCGGTTGCCATACGGTCCCTTCTCAGATCGATTTGGATCGATTCTGGCCTGCTTGCCCGCCTTTGGAGTTATTCGATTGCCAGAGCTTGCAGCTGCCTTCTCCCAAACTCAGAACGAGCTTCCGCGATCTAACGTCCTTAGAACGAGATAGATCTTGATCATTCGCCACTTTATTGCTATTGGTTGGACCTGTTACTGCGTCCCCGCGGTCCTGGAAAAAGAAAATGTTCTCACCCTCGCCCTCAATTTCCCCTCAATCTATGTTGTCCTGGCTATTAGTTTCAAGCAGTTTCGAAACTTGACGTGCATCCTGGAAACCTTTCGTGCCAGTTTTGATCGAGGTCCTTGTGGCGTTTATAATCCTGATTATGGAGGAGCATGCAAGCCTTCTGAGCTTGTGCTGTCATATTGGAGGAGAAAAGTTCTGGGCCAGGAGTGTGAAAACAAAGTATTGTGTAAAATAGCATTCTGGAAGTCTGCTGACCGTTTTCCACGTTGACACATCCAAAGATGATCCCTGCCTCCGCTCCCCTTTTTCTGCCATCGCACTGGCTGTGCTCTATGCAAACCAGCAAAATGTGGTCGAAAGCCAAAGCAGTCAACGCAGCGACAGGAAAAACTCACTACGTGGAAAAGTGCAGCACCACAAGTACAAGCAAACATCAATCCACCACAGCCAAAATCAACATTCAGCAAGATGAGCATGGACGTAAAAGAAGAAATAGTTAGACATGCAACACCCACGTACCAGGCAGGAAACAAACTTAACAAGCAACGGTTTGTCAACACCAATGCCATTGTGGCCGGTACAATTTGTGAAATGGCGGTGGATGGAGCCGTGTACACACCGTGCTGTGAAACATTATTTTGTAGCGCATGCATTTGCAAATGGCTCAGCAACAACAGCACATGCCATGACTGTGGCAGTGACATGGCAGCGTCCAATCTGCAGCGGCCCAACCGAAGTATGATCAGCAACTGAACCATACATTGTGACTATCACGAGCCTGCCTTGGCAGGTTGTTCTGCCACTGTTCCCCTACACCAGTTACAGAAGCATGTGGATGCCTGCGCATTTAGTCCGACAGCAACATCCAGCAGACATAGTCAGCCAATACGTACAATCAGCGCCACATCCTCTGTGAGTGATGTGCTACAAGCGTCACCGTCGAAAATGCGTGGCGATGTTGCAGACCGATTAACAAGTAAGCTGGTGACCGCCAAGGCCGAAAGTGGCCAGCTTGAAGTCAAGCCTAGCTGTCGGGAAGACCTCAGATCTACCAGCGTGTCACTGCCGCAACCACATCATCCGAAGAGGCATCATCACGAACAATCCGCAGACGCTCCATGCAATTGAGCACCGTCAACGAGACTGTGGAGATTCTGCTGGTATACGGGCGCAAGAGGTGGCTGGAATAAAGCGCCTCTCCACACCGGAGCAAGAGCAGCTCCTACACGACATCGGCTTGCATCCGACAATGCCAACGTCGGGAACAGCGCTGGCTATAAAGGCAGACTTATCTCTGTCCTACAGCAGATTCAGGATGCTGAGGACATGGCTGCGGTAACTTGGCGTACAGCTGGAGTCCGAAAGGAAGATGCGCGCATTCATCACCACGCAGATGCTAGCATATACACTGCAGAACAAACCAATGATGAGGCGAAACAGTGAGCTCAGGATGGCAGCCATGGTATACTTTCCAGATTTAATCGCTATGGTTCTATATTTTCTTGACAAGCCGTCAGGCGAAATTACTGGTCAGTCGGCGACACGCATTTTTCACAAAAATTTGCGTTTCACCTGCTGGGAGAGTATGCGTGTACTCGAGTCTCATCCTGAGCACGTTTTTTTCTTCTTTTTTCAGCTCCAGTATAGCTGTATTTTTCATTGCAAAGCCGTCCTCGATTGTTGTGTTCGTTGTTCAAACGAAGTGGACATTCAATCATGAAGGCAGAGGACATAGGAGCCTGATTGGAGTTTCTCGTGGCATAGGACGGCCACACAGAGACATTTTGAGATTTTCTGAATATAAAATACCGTACGCACGATACTGAGATCAATTTGTGCGATATCAAATTGTTTGTGATCTACCAAATCGAGCAGAACGGGATCCAAACACAAGCTGACCGACGGTTAGGCTGCCGACCTGACTGGACAAATGATCCCTGGCTTCACCAGACGCCAGACGTCGGACACCATGTCCTTTGCTGCGACGTCCATCTCCAAAAAGAACTCCATCTTCGTCGTGAAAAGGCTTGAAATACTCAATATTCAACTGAGATTCGCGGACTCGCGCTGTCTCAGATCGATTAATTTCCTGTTGGAACAGTTGCAGGGCAGCTTCCCGCCACTGTTTCAACAGGCGATGGCTCCAAAGCATGCCTGGAACAAGCCATATCGAGGTTGCAAGCCACACCTCTCAGCAAAAAATTCGAAGAAATTCGAAATTTCAATGGTGGAAGATATATTATCCATATAAAAATCGCTCTGTGAGCGGTTCTGAAAAACCTTTACTGGTACTGCCCCGTCGTAAAAGTAAGAAATTAGAACTGGCCCATTGTCCCCCCAATGCGAACTGATCCACCTAAATCGCGAATGACGGGACCCGAACGCACCAGTAGCACGAGGTCGGGAGGGCACAGGATCACGGCAATTATCATAGGGTAAGAGAATTTCAAAAAGTATGTTTCGCGGAGCGATCACTCAACCTACGTCATTCAAACTTTGCAGGATGGTTCAGACGTACATGGTAGGCATGGAACCACAGGCGATGATGCCATAGCTGACACACAGAGTAACACACACAGCAGAATCGTGTGCACAGATACTAAATTAGTGGACGTTGTCATCTTCTTCCCGCTGATCTCGAGTGTACGTAAGTGCTATTTCGCCTGATGTGCATGGTGCTGAAGCCCTGACATGGTCAAGCAGCATTCCCCAGTCAGAAGTCTGGATCAAGATCGGTGGTGATCATGGTGGTGGAACGTTCAAGTTGAGCTTCCAGGTAAGCGGGTGATAATAAAAGATAAACTTGCTAGATGTGTATATGCTGCAGCGCTGCTTGATATAGACTATACTAAGAAGTGCAGCTAGATTAGTGCATTGAATTAGTGAAAAAATAAGATGAATGCTTATCGAAAATTGGGCATGCACGAGATAATAATCATACCTTCTAACGCACAGTGTCTTCTTCTTCTACTGCACAGGTGGCAAACGTACTGCATCCGAACACTGTCAAGAACACCATACTGCTTTGCATATTCGATGAGAAAGATACGCCGGGAAACCTCAACAGTGCTCTCAGTATGTACCAACAACAAGTCCGTGACCTGATGGTAACGCAGTGGAAGGGGAAGAAGCTGCGAGTGTTCCTTTTTGGAGACTACGAATTCCAATGCCGTGTTTTCGGTCTGTCTGGCCACAGTGGTGTTCGACCTTGCATCCATTGCCGCTGTATGAAGCGCTCGATGGACCTACACCCCAGCAGTGGACCAGAGGATGAGACAACAGCTAGGTCCCTGGAAACATTGGCAGCGGATCACCAGCGCCACACCACTGATGGCTCTCGCCTCAGCAGTGCGATGCTATTCAATATTGTCATTCGGCCCACCATCCTGCCAATCCCAGTAGCCGACGCTGTAATACCAGCCCTCCCCTTGGACCTCAGCATATTTGTGTGGATATATGAGCTCTTGGAAAAGGAACTGCACCAGCTCGATCTGAAGCTAGTGGCGCACTGCGCTCCAGCATCTAGCGACGGTGACGGGTTCACTCGGCTAACCACACTTCACCAGGAGCTGCAGACGGCAAGCACGAGCCTTGACGAGACGGAGCAAGAATGCACCATGTACCAGCACCAACTTCAATTCCTGACGATCTCGGTGCAGAATCAGCAGGTCGATGACAATGACGGTCGATGGCAAGCACTTGTTGAGCAGTTTCAAGTTGGTTTCACGCTGATAACGGCAAAGCGAGACAAGAAGCGTGTAGAGGTGGCTCGCCTAACATCTGACATAGAAAAGCTGAGCAGTAAAGACATGCATGGTCCTTGCCAGCAGTCTTTGGATCCTGAAAATGATAACATACAAAATCATGAAAAAAGGGGGGGGGATGAAGCAGAACAGTAGCCAAACACACCACGGATAGTTACCAAAAGCACTCTGCAGCAGCAAGGACCACAGAAGCATCAGAGTCAATGACTCTCTGGCGGGCATCTTGAGACCGTGGCCTGCGGTGACCACGGAGGCTGGCATTGGAGGCACGAACAAGAGAAAAGGAAACCCTTGACCTTATAAAGGCAAGAAGTGAGGAGAAGGGCTCCTTTCTCTTGTCGGCGAGCATAGAGGCGACACCCTTGAAAAAAGCGGAGGCGGACTTGCCGTAGCCGCCG